TCAACGAAACTCGATTGTAGTAAACCTGGCAGTGAATCTGTTTTGATTTTTTTTTTTTTTTTGTAATTACCGGTTAACTCAGATCGCATATAAATGTCTGTCTGTCTCTCTGTGTATACATATATATATATATATGCATTTCTATAGATTGCGACATACACTAATACATTAATCAAAGAAAACAAGGTATCTTTTGTTCGAATAATGGTAATGTCATTTTCGTTGATTAACTGTGAAACGTAGAAAAATAGAAGAAGATAAAAATGTCGGAAATCAATTATCGGTTTGATATTATCGATACTATGCTAAATATGCAAAATATACATACATAGAAATAGAGAAGAGACAAATAGAATTGTTAAGATTTGAAATAACAAGTTTTAACAATATTCATACAAAATGCATTTACAAATGAAACTTGGATGAATACGAAAAACGATACAAACACGTCGTCGTGTTTGAGCGATATAAAATCCATGTAAAAATTATCTGCATGTAATCAAAAACAATAATGTCGTACCAATAATAATAATAATAATAAATAAGAAGAATAAGAAATAAATAAATAAAATAAATAGAACGAATGCGTAACTCATTCGTGGTTGTTGTTTCCGTAAGATGCACTGCACCGGGTGTTGTTGTTGTTGTTGCGTTTGTTCTGGGCACGAACTTATCAAATTGCAAGTCATTCGAATAAATACGAAGAATTCCGATTAACTCACGGGGCAGGTAAAATGAAACACGTTGTTAGATGCAGTAGTAGTAGTAGTAGTAATACAAAGAATCAAAAGAAAGGGCAGCAGCAGTTGGTGTTGTTGCATCGATAGCAGTAGTATAGTGTTAGGGTAAAGAAGAAAAGGGTATATATGATGAATGGGGGGAGTTAGGGGGGAGTTAGGGAGAAGGGAAAGGGCTCATTTACGACGATACACTGTAATTCGTTATAACGTTTATATAGTCGACAATAAACATCATCGTCAGCTTTCTAATACCTCGACGAATGCTTCTTGTCGTGTCGTAGGCTATTTCGATGAAGGTAATGCGATTAATCTGTTACCAGAGAGAAACAAGAGGAAATGGATTTGTAATTCAATTTCAATGACGAACGAACACCGAACGAACGAACGAACGAACGAACGAACGAAGCAATGAACGAAGAACTCTGACTAACTAACAAACTAATTTACTATATTAATACAATTGAAAATATGCATATATATATATATATATATTTATCTTGCGAACTCGATAAAATTTTAATTAAACGATTTAAACAAAAAATAAACTGGAAAGAAGAGAAACCCGAAAGATAGATTATCAAATGATATATTTCGTAATATTATATTTCTAATTTGTAATATGATTCTCATATCCGTACCCTCATTATTTGAATACCCTAATATTGAACTACCCTTCCTAATATATCCGAATAACCATTTCATAGGGATGTTTGTATACTATTTTATATAGACGATGATTAAAACGTGTGACTATCTTTTAATATCAAAGTATACAACAAGGATGTATTTGATATATAAAAATAATGTAATATAATTTCACGCAATTATATATCTGTTGGGAAATTAATATTAATTAGCTGTTAGAATAGATTATGACAATTTAATATATCGAAAGAAAATATTCATTTAATTCACCACATTTACATTAGAATAAGTAAAGTTCAATATAAAAGATAGTAATTTGTTTTATTATTCGAAAATTGTCTTATCCAATAATTTTTGTCATTTTCATCCCCCATACCCTCTATTAATACGAATAAGGGAAAGTTCTTATTGTACACATCAAATTTGCGATACGAATTTATAAAATGATGCGTGGAAAATAAATAATTCTAAAAATAATATAATCCAATGAATTCTACGAAAAGATTACGCGTTAAGAATAAATACATTCTATATTCGTTTTCAAATGTTTGTTTGTTCTAAATCAAACTCGATGGGTTCTCCTCCTATCTCGGCTAAACTGTTTCTAAATTCTTTTTCTTTTTTTTTTTACTTTTTTGATTTTACACGCATATCTCTCTCTCTCTCTCTCTCACTCTATTTCTCTATCTCTTTCTTTCTTTAAGTCGGCGTGTTACTAGCGGTGTTTGGTAGATGGCGCCATGGAAGGTGGGCAAGATAGCAAATCACTAGTAGTTACATAGCGAAACGGGAGAAACAAAAAGAGAATTGAAATATTAACGAAAGAAAATGTAGACGTAAAACTAATTAGAAAAATTCTAATTATAATATAAACTTCGTTTCTATTATTATTATCCTTGATATTGGATTAAAATCACTATTATCATAGTTATTATTATAGATACTAACTTCTTCACTTTTATCACTCACTACTATAACACAACCCTACCGGCACCACGCCACCACACACAACCACCAACCACCACTACCATCACACAACCACCCCATCAACACACTGCTACGATACTCCCACAAGTTGACACCAACACGATATATCACGAATACACTATTCACATAATATATAATAATAGAAAAAGGTATAAAGGATAAAGGAAAAAATATGAATTTTCAAAAAGCCCGCTTCTTCGATGGAAAAATCAAATTTTATGTTCACTCCTGAATACAATTTTTGAGATGTAAGTAAATTCGTAAAAAATTGATCGTTTTTAAAGGGGGAAAAAAGAAGAAGAAGAAGAAGTAAAAACAATAGAGAAAATTAAAATAAATAACGGATCGATATATAAACTTACCGATACGGAGAGATAACTCGAAGAAACGAAATCCAGTTTATCGAGAGAGAAACACGTGCCGTTTTCCGGTACACGCACCGCGTTCAAACGAACTAACGAGACGACGACAACACTTTTATCTAAACTCCTTCGTTTCGTCAAATATTAAATAACTTTAAACGTTATAGTAAAGATAAATTGTATTATGCACTAATGCATATAAGAAAGAAGAAAATTAATAGAGACACGCGTCTCATTCGGTGCTCCGAAATTTCTTCTCTATCTCTATCTCTCTCTTACTTTTTTTATTAATCCGTTATGAGATCGAAATACGATTTTCGATTCGTTATGTCTATTCACACTCACGAATACACTTGACAAAATATTATTAATATTACTATTATTAATAATAATAATAATTATGATAATTATATAATAATAATATAATGATAATAATTTTATAGTAAGAATATTAATAATAATAATAATTATTATAATAATACAAATCACACGAGAATATAAAATACAATACGATTATTATATCGAAACTATTTTTTCACAATAACCCGTTCTCTCACTATTATTCGCCAATGAAAATATATGTATATATATTATATATATATATTGACGTTATATTGAACAAAAAAAACAAATATTATATATTATGTTTTAAAGGAGGTTAGGACGACACGTTCGAGTTCGAGGTTAGTCGCGATAAAGTAAGAAAATACGCAAAACACTCACGACGTCCGGCGCGAGAATGATCAGAGGAGCGCAGACTGGCGGTTGTCGCTGGTGGTGGGGATGGCGGCGCGCGCTGTTGCATACAGTGGTGGGGGAAAAAATCGGCAGCGCCGCGTCACGGCTGCACGTTGCACTAGGAACGGAGCGGGGCGGGGGAGAAATACTTCTAGGTGGGGTGAAGCACGACTGGTGGTAAGGGAAGGGATAACGCTCAGTGCTGCAACAAAAGGTTTTGCACCCCTGTCTAATTATTTTTTCTCTCTTAATGTTTTTTTTTTTCGTTATAACTTATCGCGTAAGTATAATTACTTCTTCTTCATCTTCATCTTCATCTTCGTCATCTTTTATTTTCTTTCTAAATATTTTTCAACGTATTTTTACGTATATTTAAGAGAAAAAGAATTGAAGACCACATGAGAGGAGTTTTCTTAGATATTTAACGTAAATATGTATATATACGTAAATGAAATAATTACTTATATACATAAATATGTATAGATCTATTTATGAACCTAATGGATTTAAAAGCACAAGACGTGTAATCTTGGTATCTCTCTGTTCGCTTAGCGTGTCGACTTCCTTCCTTCCTTCGAAGGTGCTCGTAAAGAGAGCAAGAGCGAGGAGATCGTTTATCGTTGAATCGGTAAATACATACATACATACATACATAGATAAATAGGATAGGTAAGGTATTTACGTCTCAATTCGTAATTCATGAGAGAGTCCGGAGGAAGTTTAACGTGCCGAGTGGAAAACCACCCGGGATGGGAACAACGTGTGAGATCGAGAGAAATAATACTCGGGGGACCAAAAAACATTATCAACAAACCAGTCAGTCAGTCAGTCAGTCAGTCAGTCAGTCAGGATGTGTGTTTTCCTTCTTTCTTCTTCTTTTTTTTTTTATATTCACGCGTTTGCCAAAGGTGTGTACCCCGAAGGATGGAAAATCATTTTTCCTTTTTTCTTTCTTCATCGAATGAGAAAACAAACGGTTGGTAAAAATTAAAAAAAAAAAAGAAAAAAAAAAAAAGAAGAAACTGTATTAGGCACGCTTTCAAAATCTCTAGCACTTGTCCCAGATTACCCCAGGCGAGTACAGAGGGTGGGACGCGGGCGGGCGCGCGGGAGGTGATGAAGCCTAAATGAAAGAAAGTAAAAAATAAAAGGGATGAGAAAATAAGGAAGAAGAATAAGAATAAGAATAAGAAGAAATTGAAGGAAATACGGTGGTGGTGGTGGCCACGCTCGGCGACGCTTTACGAGATCCCCGAGCGATAACATTAAATATGGCCCCGTTTATTTATCACTCAAGAGTCCAGTTTGTTTTAGAAATACTCGGGGATTGCGTGTATACATATAATGCCTACATCTGTTGGCCCAGATAAGAAGAAGTGGGAATGTAAAAGGGAGGGAAGAGAAAAGGGGGGAAGAAAAATAGAAAAAGAGAGAGAGAGAGAGAGAGAAAAAGAGAAAAAGAGAGAGAAATAACGAAAAAGTGGGGAGACTAACATGAAAAGAGAAAAAGATAGTTAGAAAGAGAGAGAGAGAGAGAGAGGTAAGGAGGGGGAGAAAAAAGAGAGTCATGGATGGAGGGAGAGATTAGTCATGTTTCATTATTAATACCACGCTTGCTTGAACGTCGTTCGAGCAAGGTTTATCTTGTATGCGATACGATTTTTTAAAGGCTATAGAGATATCATAAACCTTTCAGTTTTTCTTTATCTTTATCTCTCTCTCTCTCTCTCTCTCTCTCTCTCTCTCTTTCGTTTTATATTTTTCTATTACAATGATATTTGAAATTGAAAATTTAATAAATCTTTATATTATACTTTTGAAATGAATTAACAAAGAATGAGGGAAAATATTTCGAAGAGAGAACGACTAACTTTTTGAACATCGACGAAGACACACACACACACATATATATATATATATATAATACACATAAGTTGGCCTTCGTGAAGGAGCTTTAGCAATGTTATGTGCAGCGCATGCACTAACACACGAACCGTCGTCCTCTTCCCTCCTCTTCTACCTCCTCCTCCTCCTTCTCCTCCTCTACCTCCTCCTACTCCTCCTTCTCGGATATTGTAGAAAAGTAGGACAACGCCGAGCGCGGGGGTATGAGGGTGGTTGGCATAAGGTTCATAAAGAGCCGTTACCTTTCTGTGAAAGGTGCCTTTAATTTCAGAGGCATTCCAATTGCACTTATGTATATTGAAAGAACCAGCCGTAGTTGCAACGAAGCAGGAAAGATAACGGAGATTATATGCTCCCTCCTCTACGACAATGTATTCTATCTATAATAGATATACATATACATATATTTATATATATATATGTAGAAAGAGAAATATAGATAAATAGATAGATAGATGTAAATTTGTTTCTATATGCAGGAAACACACACATACATTATTATATATATATATATATGTAAATACGTACAAATATGCATATACGTTTGGATAGATTTCTCTATTGTTAAAGAACTAACTAAAAAATGTATTTGTGTCTATTACTATAACGGTTACAATAATCCGATTGAACTTTTCTATTTTGAACCATGGTGAAATTCGACAAATCGAAAATACAGAGAGAAATATATAATACACATATGTATAAATATTTATATATATATATATATATCTATATATATATGTGTATGTGTATGTGTGTGCATACGTATATTGTTAGAGCACATAATCGCGATCGAAGATAGTTTATGTCGCGTTTATTCGGTGTTTCCGAGCAAGCCACTTTGCATATTATGCGAATACCAAAGCGAAAGATACTCATTGGTTATTGGCGGCTGTTCAATAGGTATCTATCGTTTGACCATTGAAAGCATATCGTTAACAGTTTATGTACGATGTAATCTCATTTATCTGTAATATCCACTAAAATTCTCTCCCACACTATCTATCTATCTATCTATCTATCTATCTATCTATCTATTGTATTTATCTATCTCTCTTTCTCTTTCATTTTAATATCAAAAATATATATCATCAATTTTTTTCTAACAATATTTTTGAAAACTCTTACGAAATTCAAAAGACACATTTTCAATCGGTTCTCGAAATATAAAAAGAAAAGTAATTTCAATTGAAGGAAACCCCACCACCACCCACCGCCCACAAAAAAATAAGATTCTTTCCCTCTTTGTTTATTTCACTAACAATTTATTTATCTCTATACATCTATCAATCTTATTCTACTTTCACATTGACAAGAAAATACATAGGATTTCATTCTATCTTTACCTGTGAAGATATATTTCAAAATTCAAGATTAATTTAGAACACGTTGTATTGTTTGTTTTTTTTTTCTCTTTTTTTTTTTTTAAATAGATCGAGAAAAATGGGTAAAAAAAAAAAGGGGGAGAGAGAGATAAAAATAAAACGAATTGAAGTTAATTCGATTTTAAAAGAAGAAGAAGAAGAAAATGAAAAGAGAGTGAGTGTGTAATCGATTCTACTATGTAATAACTATTTCATAATAAAACGGACACGATACACACGAGCAACGACGACTGATATGAGTTAGGTATGAAATGAAATGGAATGGAATAAAATGAAATGAAATAAAATGAAATGAAATGAAATAAAATGAAATGAAATGAAATGAAATGAAATGAAATAGTGTTATACATACGATAGTAGAGAAAGCGAGTGAGAAACACTATGGAAAGTGAACTCTCTTGTCAGGCACGCGCGAAGAGAGAGAGAGAGAGAGAGAAAGAGAGAGAGAGAGAGGGAGAAGTATAGTGGCGTAACGTTTAACGATCGGCCCCCTTTAAAAGCCCCTTTATTATCGATCACTTTCGTCTTGTTCCACGAGTGGGACACTTTGCACAGATTCCATCGATCCGAATCTTTCTTTTTTTTTTTTTTTTATACTTTTCTCTCCATTTTACTTTGATTCTTTTTCTCTTTCCTTTTCTTGTAGTTTTTTTTTTTTTTATTTTTGGTAAACTTTTGACTAATACAAAAAAAAAATGATTGGATTAATCGAATGAGAAGAGAACAAAATTTTTGTATTAATTTAAATGATAGATGTAATTAGAGAACTAATTAATAATTTACATTTTCGATTATTTAATTATTAATTTAATTATTAATTTTTTGTTTCTGTTTGAACGATCTATTTTTGAAATAACATTGATTTGTTATTGTAAAATAAATCGTAATGTCACTTCTTTTTTTATTTTTTTTCATTTTCATATCACGATAAGATTTCTAATCGTGTAACTTCCTTTTCATTTCAATATTATGCATTTTGAAATGTCATTTGTGTTGTGAAACCGATTACTTTTCTTATTAAAGAAATGTTCTACATTTATAATTATACATCGACCCCGTTAACAACGAACACTCTAATAAATTACCAAAAGTGTGCGTGTAAAAGTGTGCGTGTGCGTGTGGGGGCAATTTAAAAAAAAATATATATATAAAGTAAAAAAAGGGGAAGGAAGAGACGGCAAAAAAAAAGAAAAAAAAAAAGAAAGGAAAAAAAGTTTTAAAAGAGAGCATCGAACTTTCTCTCTCTCTCTCTCTCTCTCTCTCTCTCTCTCTCTCACTCTCTCACTCTCTTTCCGAATTGAAACGACTTCTCCTGCGAAGCACGTGCGAACACAATGTGTGGAT